AGGAAATAGCAGGAAAGAACTGGATACAAACCGCCAAGGACAAAACGGCCTGGCATGATTGCGCTCGGCGGGTGGGAACTACGAAAAATCTACACTGTAAACCCGAGCAATCTTTGAATCATGCCGCTGTTCTTCTTCAGTTTTTACGTCGTGCGCTGCTTCAAGTTTCACCGTCACTGCAGTCTTTTTCTGTCGATATGGACAGATATGGTTGTAAGATAAGCTCGAAATGACAGGGCACAATGAATGATTGAGCACTGATTTCAAAGCAGCAATGTAGTATTGAAGCGAGAAGAAAAGTGTCAGGCGTGCCTGCGTAATGAAGGAGAGTAACGTTAGAAGAGCTGTTCGCTTTTTCATCGCCCAGCCACCGTTTTAGATGCAAACATTCGTCTGTGAATGTCAGACAGCTTGTGGGATCACATTTTTTCAGCGTTCTTGAATGTGTAAAATGTCTTGTACTATTTTTTGTTACTGATCTACCCGTCGACTGAAGAAACTCGCTTCTTGGTTTTCAGGTATGTTGGCTCCGTGATCTTAGCTGCCTTACTGAAAATTGACTATAAAATATGCCGACGATTAGGGATGATGTTCCCCATTCCCTTGTCACCGAATGACCGCTGAACAAATAAGTGATCTAATAGCAGTCATAACGACCTATTCGGCCCGTTTTTACGGTCTGTTGCGGCTGGCTGACGTCAACCACCCTTGAATGCTAAATCAGTGGAAACACATTCTAAGTAGTAATGGAAACCCGAGTCAGTTTAAATCTGCTCACCCGTTCAGAGCTGCATCAGCGGTCATTCTTGCGGTTGCTCACCTTCAGGCAGCTAGAAAAGCTGCAACATCCTAAACATGTAGGAATATTTTATTGGTTTACTTCCTGCCATCTTAACGTCCTTTTTTTATTTGATGTCCTTTTTACAGTTTAGAATTTTGATTATCATTTTGTTCTACTGGGCATGGCTTGTTCAGGATAATAAACTAGATTGATTCAGATGTACAAAATTTTCGAAGTCACGCTGAAATCAACATAACATCGAAAAATTTACCTACTGTACATAATTAGTATATGTGGATCTTGCTTGGATGAACTTGTTAGTCCTTATTAGTCAAGGCTGTATTAACACTATTGCCATTGTATCACTGAATATCTCCCTAAAAATTAATTGGTGATGCCACTTAAATGCATAAGTCCTTTGAATCTGCCCTCAGTGGGTTTTTCCATTTAATCATTAAACTCTGATTTGCTCCTAAAAGTTGAGCAGATATGGGAAACAATGTTTGCATTTTGTATTGTTCCTACCTCAAGTAAAAGTTTTGCTTGTTCCTCTGATTCGTCGATGAACATCTGGCGTAGGTGACACGTTCCATGAATTTTTCCTTTAGGTTTATCGGAAGAGCGGTTTTCTCAAGGAATTGTCTGAGAAAATAACCTCGACGCAGAAGGATTTGGACGCTTGTCAACAACAACTAAAGGATTCGCGAGTCGAACTAGATAAAAGTCAGAAGCAGGTTGCGGAACTGAGCGGTAAAAATCTATAGATTTTGTGCAATTTTGTGCGTCACGTGTCGATGTTGATTTTTAGCGGAATTGCAAGATGCACGCCTGGAGCTGAAAAAGAGCAACGCCCATGCGCAAAATTTAGAAGGTCAGTGTTTACTGCATCTTTTAGTCCATAAAATTTTGAAAGGTTCTTTCATCATTTTATCTGTAAAGTTGTTTCTCTCATTGAGATCAAGGCACCTGAATGAATAGAACAGCGGTCTTTGCAGTCGAAAGATCAAGCTGTAGATTATTTCTGGGCCACTTACCTTTCATCTTTTCAAAGTAGATCAACCAATTCTACACCATGAAAAGGAGACGGGAGAATATACGCCATGCGGATCACATGTAGCTACATGCTGCCTTGAAAAACAGGATAATCCTTGCCACAGCTTTTGCTCCATAAAACAGAATGGAAGATTTGTAGCCGTTAGGGCGTTGGTTCTCTTCGTTACCGTGATGTACGCATGATGTACGCCCATTGTTTTCATTCAGTTTATGATGCAGTGCTGATGTCTGTTTCAGTGCCATTCTTCAAAAGTGCCCTATTTTAAAGGCAACGTTTACAGCTATGTGAGAATATAGCATACAGCTTCTGTCTTATCAACCGAAGAAGAATGAAAGCCGAATGATTTCTCTAGGGCTTGAATTCATTGCGATTCGTTTTTGATTCACCGCTGATGACCACTCCGAAAAATGCCTAGCACACTGTCGGTGTGGTGGGGTGGCACTGAAACTTGCCTGATGAAAGGATGTCTTTTAAATATGCCTGCAATTATCCTGTTCATATATCTGTATCACTATATGTCTGTTTGTTAATGCAGAATTTTCGAACTCTGGTTTAAACCGCAGGGTAACATTACTAGAAGTAGAATGATGATATGAAACCTTCTGAATCTGACACTTCACAGTAATAAACAACAATAAATATTTGTCAACGTCGTATAAGTAGTAACTAACTACAGTCAATTTTCATCAATTTAAATTTTAAAACTAAACTTTGCTGAGTTCGTGTAGTTGGTGTAGTGATGCGATACTACCAGATGTGAGATTTCCATTTGCCCTACACTACCGCAGTATCGATGTAAAGTAAGAATTGTATTTTTTACATTGTACGTTTTCGCCGTTA